AGAGGACCTACAATAATGTACAGTATTTGAAAAATAATGTGTTTTTTGAACATTAAAGCATGTCAACATATTCTGTTAAACCAAATACACAAAATAATGATCTTTAAAAAAGCATCATATGACCCCTTTAAAAGGCCTTTTTTTACTTGCTTAATAAAAGTATAAGCTGAAGACACGTAGTCGATTGTGTACATCAGTAAAGTTTTGACCATGTTAATAATTTGGAGGCCTTAGAAATTTGTGTATCAAATATGAGACAGTAGGCTTTACAAGCTTAAATTTCATCTGGCCTAATTTGTGGAAGTAAAAAACTTTTAAGAAGCAAATTCCTCGAAATTTCTTTCGAGTAGCATCCCACATTCATTTCAAAACCAGTGCGTTTTATACTTTCATTCCTTTTGCTTTGGTTTTGCTGCCAACATGCACAGAATGCTCTTTAGTTTTTAGTTTTAGTAGTAAAACCAAAAGGCCAAAAACAGGAATGAAAAAGTAAAGCACACATGTCTTCATTTGGAGTTTTCTCCTGAGCTACAGTGGAAAACAGCTGCCACTAATACTCAAGGTGCTCGCATTGATTACACAAATGCACTTCAGCACAGAACTAAATACAGTGTGAAGGGAAGAACATAGCATCAGACTGTTAGCACTTCAGTTTGTTTACGCAGTGTCTATTGAATGTGCACTGAACTGTTTTTTCATTTTTGCAGCAGTTAGAGACAGATAATTGAAAATCTTATGCAGTTGATGGATCACTAAAGAGTTTACGTAGCGACTCTTGCAGTCTGACTCTGCTGAGACAAAGAAAAAAGCTGTATTTTTGGGATTTAAGATGAGTTACAGTAGGTTATGATATGCAGTATACAGTATATGCATACAGTATATGCAGTATACAGATATGCAGTGTACTGATATACAGTAGGTTGGACTAATCAATGGAGGAAGGTGTTGCACATCTCCGAAAGTTAAAAGTTTAAAAGACCTCAGTTTGTAGCACACCACTAGATGTGAAAGATGTGTGGAGCTACTCGTATTTAGCTACTCGTTAGAGTGAGTGGCATTTGATTATTTTCATGAAATATTCATTATGACGCACTCCGACAGAGTTGCTGCCCTTAAAAAGATTGTTATTGATGGTGTGTTTGTTCCTAAGCCTGTTGTCATAATGCAGTCATGTTAATTAGCAGCATTGTTAGTATGAAATGTTTAGGGTTAATTAATAAGAGGAATATTGCTCAGACTCATTAACAGACACCTGTCTGACTGCTGTGTCGATATTACAATACCCTGGAAAAGCAGACACTGAGAAAACAGACCGGGTGTAATATAAATGTGATTTATTGTATAATTAGTAGGGCTGTCAATTTAGCATGCTAATTTGGTGTGCTTAATTTTAAAGTATTTAATCATGATGTGCATACTTTGTGGTTGAATAATACTGTTGCAGATGTTTCAAGAGTTCCTCAACTTCAGAAAAGCAAGGAACTGTTTTTGTAGTCTGTTGTTTTTTCCATTGACTTCGTTTAGCCTCGTTCTGATGAGGTCTTATTCGGTTCTGGGCATTTTGTCTTACTCTAATTAGATGCCATTGTTTGACGTTGGCATAAGAAAAAAAGCTACAAGTCATTTGTTCAGAGAACAGTCATTTGACATGCAGTAGACTGTATTGTAAAGTAAAGCCTATTGGCAATAATAAGAATAATGATGATGATGGATAATAATAATAATTTGTTTGTTTGATTAATTAAACTAGGTAAGAGTAATACACAGCTGGTGGTCTGATGGGGCTGCTGACCTGGTCACTTCATCAAAGCTCTAATGTCCCGGTGTATCGATTTAGCAAACCATAGATGGATGAAGTTTGCCATTTTTGTTTGCCAGAGGTCAAAAGGAAAGACCTCATTATCATTTACCATCATCTTTGATCACTGACGGCTCACATCAGGGAACCTGACTGTATGTAATGTTCTGAGATTGTTGCATTGAGTAGCTTAAAGATAGTGTTCTAATAAGTCAAAGTAATAACTGAACTTGACTCGGTTTTTTTCTCGAATTATAATTTAAAATACAGTAGTTTAGCCAAAGTCAGTGTGTTGGGAGATAATTGTTCAACTACAGTCGATGTGAAACTGTCATTGATCACATGTGGTTTTAGAGTTTATGCATCAGCGCAATCAATAACACACAAACAAGCTTCATGTAATCAGAAATCTTGAATAATATGTTGAGTTGGGGGTCAAGGGTGACATCTGTTCTATGGCAGGATATTTCCAAATTTCATATAGTTTTCCTCAATCTTGATATAATTCAATTCATTCATTCCATTATTTCATTTCATTTCTTCATTAATTTATGCCATTTAGACATTTATTTATAGCCATTTATTTATTGTCATTTATTTAGCCATTCTGACTTTTTTTTTTAATTTTCTTTTATTTCGCTATTTCGAAATTTTTATTGCCATTAATTTATTTCATATTTCATTTTAGTTCATTTCTGTTTATTAAGCCATTAAAACATTTTTATTCATGTTTCAAGAGTTCCTCAACTTCAGAAAAGCAAGGAACTGTTTTTGTAGTCTGTTGTTTTTTCCATTGACTTCGTTTAGCCTCGTTCTGATGAGGTCTTATTCGGTTCTGGGCATTTTGTCTTACTCTAATTAGATGCCATTGTTTGACGTTGGCATAAGAAAAAAAGCTACAAGTCATTTGTTCAGAGAACAGTCATTTGACATGCAGTAGACTGTATTGTAAAGTAAAGCCTATTGGCAATAATAAGAATAATGATGATGATGGATAATAATAATAATTTGTTTGTTTGATTAATTAAACTAGGTAAGAGTAATACACAGCTGGTGGTCTGATGGGGCTGCTGACCTGGTCACTTCATCAAAGCTCTAATGTCCCGGTGTATCGATTTAGCAAACCATAGATGGATGAAGTTTGCCATTTTTGTTTGCCAGAGGTCAAAAGGAAAGACCTCATTATCATTTACCATCATCTTTGATCACTGACGGCTCACATCAGGGAACCTGACTGTATGTAATGTTCTGAGATTGTTGCATTGAGTAGCTTAAAGATAGTGTTCTAATAAGTCAAAGTAATAACTGAACTTGACTCGGTTTTTTTCTCGAATTATAATTTAAAATACAGTAGTTTAGCCAAAGTCAGTGTGTTGGGAGATAATTGTTCAACTACAGTCGATGTGAAACTGTCATTGATCACATGTGGTTTTAGAGTTTATGCATCAGCGCAATCAATAACACACAAACAAGCTTCATGTAATCAGAAATCTTGAATAATATGTTGAGTTGGGGGTCAAGGGTGACATCTGTTCTATGGCAGGATATTTCCAAATTTCATATAGTTTTCCTCAATCTTGATATAATTCAATTCATTCATTCCATTATTTCATTTCATTTCTTCATTAATTTATGCCATTTAGACATTTATTTATAGCCATTTATTTATTGTCATTTATTTAGCCATTCTGACTTTTTTTTTTAATTTTCTTTTATTTCGCTATTTCGAAATTTTTATTGCCATTTATTTATTGCCATTTATTCAGCCATTTATTTATTGCCATTAATTTATTTGTGTTTATTTAGCCATTTAGCATTTATTTATTGCCATTAATTTATTTCCGTTCATTTCTGTTTATTAAGCCATTAAAACATTTTTATTCCAATTTATCCATTTAGATATTTATTTATTGCCATTTATTTGTTGCCATGTATTTATTTTCATTTATTTAGCTTTTTGTTTATTGCTATTCATGTATTGCCATTTATTTCAATTTATTTAGCCATTTTTAGTGTCATTTATTTAGGCTTTTATTTATTTATTTTTGGTCGGTCTGGTTAGAGCTGGGGTGTATTCCAGAAAGCACGGTTAACTTACCGTCAGCTAAACTCTGAACTTTCGGTTGATTAACCCCAAACCTTGCTTACTCGAGGTATGTGGTTCCAAAAACGTGTCCGGGAGTAAGTTAATTCAACTCCGAGTATGTTCCTGGTTAAGACTCAAGACATTCTCAACAGAGCGACGAATCGACGAGTCACTATGGAAACGGACGCTAAGAAAAAGCGCGCCATGCTGTTTCTTTCATCTTTTGTTCAGTGGTCGTTTACATGCTTAGTGCATATCGCCACCTAAATGATGGTTGTGCAATCATTTTTCTTTTTTTTCCATTTAATCTTTAATCCTTCAGAATATGAATTATATTGTTTGTTTGATGATAATTATATATTAAGATATGATATATCAGATATGTATTTTTTTTATTATAGAAATACATTATAGAAAATGCCGATCCATGAGTGAGATGATAATATAAAATGTAATAAATATATATGAAGAGTTCATTTGCAAAAACAGATAATTCTCAGAAATCATGTTTTTTCATTGTGCATTCCAATTAATCTCAATCAAACTGCAGTTGGGTTATTTTGACTAGGTTAAAAAAACAACAACAAAAAAACCGCGAACTAACACAATAAAACAATAAAAACATGATAACATAATAAAAAACATGATTTTTGAGTTATCTGTTTTTGCAAATAAACTCTTCATATAATATAATAAATTAAACATTACCTTGTCATAATAGTGTTTTATAATTTATACAGATAACTGTTATATATACCAATAAAATAAATATAATAACCATATTAGAATAATATTACCTTATTTATTACTTGTATTAGCTCTTTATAATTAACATACATATATATATATATATAGTAGGCTATATTACATAACTATATTGTAATATTATATAATGTTGTGCGCTGTCACGCCCACTGAAGGCTCGTCAGTAGGTCACACGTGCGCTGATGGCTCTGAAGTAAACAAACCCTGGAACATAACCTACTCCGGAGCAGGTTATCTTCAGAGAGCAAGTTACTATGGTTACTTACATACCCTGAAAGTAACCTCCGATTTTGGAACCGAAAGCTGAGGTTATCCGCTCTCTTATCCTCAAACATACCCGGGTATGTCACATAACCTGCTTTCTGGAATACACCCCTGGTAAACTATTTTGAGCAAGTACAGAATCCAGCTACTGTGTTGGAAAAACTAACTTGATCACCTGACCACCAAGTACGACAGTTTTCCCCAGGAAGAGGTCCATCTTTTCAGCCAGGCCTACTGTTGTTAAATATTTAATTTGACTTTGGTCATTAAATGGGCAAATCAAATTGGAATCTTTTTAGCACTTCAGAATGACTTTTTCATACCACTTGCATGAGTACGCTAAAATCACTCCTTGAGACGGCACTCATTAGCAAGTGCGCTCTTAATAGCGATCTGCTGACAACATGGCTTTACAGACCCATTTACTGTGACACAAGTGATTTGTAACATTCACAGGCGAGATGTCTCAATTTGTTCAGCATATTGCTTAGCAAAGATGTGCAGCACTGTTATATTCTCATTAAAGCATCTGGATCAGATGATTAAAAGAATAATAGCGCCATTCTTCAGTAGGACAGAAAAACACCTTAAATCAAAACCCAAATACAGCCATTCATCTGCATGCAAGCTCACTGAAGAAAAAAATGTCCAAATTGAAATCATCGCCTGGAGACTTTTTAGGTCTCTGACTCATCCTAAACTCATCTGGGACTCGTCTGGCATCTCAGACCTTCATGTTATGCTCTGCTTTCGCTGAATCTTATATATTTTTGGAGAACGTTCTTGTCATTTTTGTGTGCAGTATGCATCAGACAAATGGTTTGCGCTTTCTCTCTTGCTTCGGTGTTTTCACATTCATTGGAGAGAGACCTTCTAACGTCCTCCTGTGAGACCTTTCCTCTGTCAACACGGCCGCTGGGATTGACCTGTGACATTTGAGAGACTTTCACCTTTGTAGGCTGTGATGTCTGCTGGATTTGGTTTAACTAAAGCTGATTAAAGAACCACTTGTTGGTGGCGAGCATCTAGAGAGCCTTTCTTTAGGGCCAAAGTGTAGTAGAACTTGTCTAGTGTTGCTCATTAGTGTCTGAATTTCTGGTTTCAATGTTTTTGTTGCATTTTTTATATCTGGGTTGACAGTCTGGTCCAAATGTATAATTCAAACGGAAGCTTCTGTTCCAAAACCTAGAGAGCTGCAAACCTAGATGGAATTAAGTAGTGGTAGTGCAATGAATAATGCATAGTGTCCTAGTGAACTGTAGTATTGTGGTTTATTTTAAGGCTTAAGTAGTTGCCTTAAAGTATAATTATGCCTTTTAAGACTCATCTCATCTCATTCTGGCCAAATTGTAAGCAGCACATGCACCTTTAAAGAGGCTGCATTTGTTGAAAGTCATCCAAGATGGTAGAATTTATTTTACAAAAATAGTTTCATTCACTGAAAAAAAGTATTTCACCCAATATTTTATGTTTTTTATGCATATAAGGGTCCCATTGGAGTGTTTGACACCCTCTCAGGTAATATTACAGAGAAACAAGACCTTTTTTGTATTTTTATTAAAAAAATTTTTTATAGATAGACTACCACTAAAAAGTCTGAGGTTGGTAAAATTGTGTAATGTTTTTGAAAGTAATCTCTTATGCTCACCAAAGGTTGCATTTATTTGAAAAAATGCAATAAAAACAGTCATATTATTATGAAATATTATTACAATTTACAATAACTCTTTACTGTTTTATATATATATAAAACATAATTTATACCTGAATTTTCAGCATCATCACTCCAGTCTTCAGTGTCACATGATCCTTCAGAAATCATTATAATATGCTGATTTGCTGCTCAAGAAACATTTCTGATTATTATCAGTGCTGAAAACAGTTGTGCTGCTTAATATTTAA